GTCTAGCCGTAAATGTGTTCCTTTACATTATTTATACACATATATAGTCTAGACGTAAATGTGTTCCTTTACATTATTTATACACATATATAGTCAAGACGTAAATGTGTTCCTTTACATTATTTATACACAGGAATAGTCTAGCCGTAAATGTGTTCCTTTACGTTATTTATACACATATATAGTCCCACCGTAAATGTGTTCCTTTACATTATTTATACACATATATAGTCAAGACGTAAATGTTCACCTTTACATTATTTATACACATATATAGTCAAGACGTAAATGTGTTCCTTTACATTATTTATACACAGGTATAATCTAGCCGTAAATGTTTGCCTTTACATTATTTATACACATGTATAGTACATCCGTTAATGTGTTTCTTTACATTATTTATACACATGTATAGTCTAGACGTAATTGTATTCCTTTACATTATTTATACACATATATATAGTCGAATCATAAATGTGTTCCTTTACATTATTTATACACATATATAGTCCCACCGTAAATGTGTTCCTTTACATTATTTATACACATATATAGTCTAGACGTAATTGTATTCCTTTACATTATTTATACACAGGTATAGTCTAGACGTAAATGTGTTCCTTTACGTTATTTATACACATATATAGTCCCACGTAAATGTGTTCCTTTACATTATTTATACACATATATAGTCAAGACGTAAATGTGTTCCTTTACATTATTTATACACAGGAATAGTCTAGCCGTAAATGTTCACCTTTACATTATTTATACACATATATAGTCGAATCATAAATGTGTTCCTTTACATTATTTATATACACATATATAGTCTAGCCGTAAATGTGTTCCTTTACATTATTTATACACATATATAGTCTAGACGTAAATGTGTTCCTTTACATTATTTATACACAGGTATAATCTAGCCGTAAATGTGTTCCTTTACATTATTTATACACATATATAGTACATCCGTTAATGTGTTTCTTTACATTATTTATATAAATATATCTATAATTATATTTAAATTTACAAGGTTACTACACTATTATGTTTTCAAGCCAAACGTTTCGCAATAGTTAACGGACCGGACTGTGAAACGGAGAGTCTAAAGTTCGCATCATATTGATGCAAAAAAACGTGCTTCGTACTTTTAGGGTATGGACGCTTTACAACAGTGTCAGTTAAATCCCACTGGTTGATTAGAGTAGCCCAAAAGTTGGTGATTTACAACAGTGTCAGTTAAATCCCACTGGTTGATTAGAGTAGCCCAAAAGTTGGTGACTTACAACATTGTCAGTTAAATCCCACTGGTTGATTAGAGTAGCCCAAAAGTTGGTGATTTACAACATTGTCAGTTAAATCCCACTGTTTGATTAGAGTAGCCCAAAAGTTGGTGATTCACAACAGTGTCAGTTAAATCCCACTGGTTGATTAGAGTAGCCCAAAAGTTGGTGATTTACAACAGTGTCAGTTAAATCCCACTGGTTGATTAGAGTAGCCCAAAAGTTGGTGATTTACAACATTGTCAGTTAAGTCCCACTGGTTGATTAGAGTAGCCCAAAAGTTGGTGATTTACAACAGTGTCAGTTAAATCCCACTGGTTGATTAGAGTAGCCCAAAAGTTGGTGATTTACAACATTGTCAGTTAAATCCCACTGACTGATTTGAGTAGCCCAAAAGTTGGTGATTTACAACAGTGTCAGTTAAATCCCACTGACTGATTTGAGTAGCCCAAAAGTTGGTGACTTACAACATTGTCAGTTAAATCCCACTGACTGATTTGAGTAGCCCAAAAGTTGGCGATGGGTGACTAGATACTTTATCTATAGTCTACCAGAAACAATCATCTCATATAATAAGGTCTTGAGGTACTTTGTGAGTAATCGTGTATATATATATGTGTCTGTTTGAAAATGCTAATAATAGTGTTCATTGAATTGGATAAATAAAATACATTATAATAAGCAAGTCAATCAATCTTGTCAAACAAATAAAGTTCGATATTCAGAGTACGACTTCAGAAGAGTCGGTTTCTATTGATTAGAGTTATAGTATGATAGTAGAGAGGTGGTTAAATAAATATAAACCCTACTTTATAAAACTTATTAGTAAATATATATATATAGTTATACACCTTACTACCAATATATTAATTTGTTTATACGTTAATACACACACACTGCCTCTAATTAATTGGTGTGCTTACCTCTACTTTCTACTCCCTTTATACGTCCGTGTGATGCCTATATTTAGGTTTGCCTGTGCAGTAGTAACTCATATGTGAGAGCTATATATAAAAATATATATGGTCATGTTTATATCCTATGTAAAAGCACTGTATGCGATAGTTTCTACTAAATTCACCGCAACATTTATAACAACGTATCTAGAAGAAGAAGAACAGAAAAAAGATCCGTACCATACCAGGCCAGCATAACCAGCTAGCTCGTCCAAATTAGTGGCAAAATGAAGAAGAACTATGTACACTCTGGGCTTCAGAACGCCTCTTCTGCTAGTTCTAGTATTAACAGGAATTTCGACAACCCTTAGCCCTCCACACTTTGATCTTGCTAGGACGGTTTCCCGCCAAATTCAGGCCCCCAACCTCGAGACGGTGGGTAGGAGAACAGTCGCAGATTCCAGGCCTGAGTTTGAGTTGCGTCTCTGGCTTACTTGACAGAAACACGAAACACTCTACAATTTCCCGACAAGCACAGCGCGCCAGGAAACAGCGGGTGGACTATCGACTAGCAGGGAGGGAAGAGCAAAGGGGTTCGAAACATCTAATGTCGTCTTCCGTAGATCGTCTCTCCAGGGTTTGGTCTATTCACGAACTTGCGTCGTCTTTCAACAGCAAACAATGATGTGGCTGTAGTTTAGAGCAAACACACAGCAACAATTTGAAAAATTTAGCTTCTTGAAGGCCAACCTGCGTGTGTGTGTTTTTATCAGTAGATACATACAGTCACTTGTAAAAACTGCAACAAATACATCAATTTGTGCCAAACAAAGCGCAAATTCGGAGCTAAGGACCTGTCTGACTACACAAAACACCCGCCGCCCCTAGCAGTATCTACCTTGTGACGATATTCACTTCTATGATGGGGTAAACTCTGATGTAAGAATAGATACACACTTCAAGGACACTAGTATGTGGTAATATGTTGTAGTATGTGGTAATATATTGTAGAATGTGGTAATATGTAGTAATATGTTGTAGTATGTATTAATATGTTGTAGTATGTAGTAATGTGTAGTAATTTGTATTAATATGTTGTAGTATGTGGTAATATGTTGTAGTATGTAGTAATATGTTGTAGAATGTAGTAATATGTTGTAGTATGTAGTAATATGTTGTAGTATGTATTAATATGTAGTAATATGTTGTAGTATGTATTAATATGTTGTAGTATGTAGTAATGTGTAGTAGTTTGTATTAATATGTTGTAGTATGTGGTAATATGTTGTAGTATGTGGTAATATATTGTAGTATGTAGTAATATGTTGTAGTATGTAGTAATATGTTGTAGTATGTAGTAATATATTGTAGTATGTAGTAATATGTTGTAGTATGTGGTAATATGTTGTAGTAGATGGTAATATGTTGTAGTGGGTTTATACTAACTTATTGTTTTAATAAACATAACAATGCTGTGTATTTCTCGAATTAATGTAAAACAGTGGGGTAATATGATTTAGTTTCTAACTATTGTAAAATACTGTTGGGGTTATAATCGTTTAACTGTAATTAATGTAAAATACTGTTCAGGTTATAATCGTTTAACTGTAATCAATGTAAAACACTGTTGGGGTTATAATCGTTTAACTGTAATTAATGTAAAATACTGTTGGGGTTATAATCGTTTAACTGTAATCAATGTAAAATACTGTTGGGGTTATAATCGTTTAACTGTAATTAATGTAAAACACTGTTGGTTTAAAATACTGTTGGGGTTATAATCGTTTAACTGTAATCAATGTAAAATACTGTTGGGGTTATAATCGTTTAACTGTAATTAATGTAAAATACTGTTGGGGTTATAATCGTTTAATTGTAATCAATGTAAAATACTGTTGGGGTTATAATCGTTTAACTGTAATTAATGTAAAATACTGTTCAGGTTATAATCGTTTAACTGTAATTAATTTAAAATACTGTTGGGGTTATAATCGTTTAACTGTAATC